ACTACACATGTTACTACACGAGTAAGAGTAGTGACGTAGAATTAATATTATTTTCTTAGTTATATATATATGTGTGTGTGTGTGTGTGTGTGTGTGTGTATATATATATATATATATATATATATATATATATATATAAACTTTATTCACACTTTTTGGAATTATGAAGCATATTTTTATAACTTATGCAAAATGATATGGTGTGAATTGCATAATATGCAGTATAGAAAACCTCTGTCATCAAACAGTTTTATCAGTAATTCTTTAGCTCATTACTTACACGTGTTGGTTTCTGCTGCATGCATGATATTTTAAGAGATTTCTCTATTTTGAAGAAGTGTAATTTGAAATAATGATTTTGAAATTTTATTATTTTTGATGTATGAGTGAATGGTCTGTTCTTAGTAACATAAATATTTTCTGGTGAGTGCCACTTGATGCATCTGGATATTAGTCTCATTGTATGATGAAAGATTTGTATATTTCTGGTACTCATGCAAAGCTATGCATGGGACATCTTTGGTAGCCGTTCCAAATTTTGAACTAATAGACTCATAGCCTCAAAGTGCAGAGCATGAAATTGTAGCAACAGAATGCAGATCATGAGCTCTAGGATTTACAGTCTAGTACACTTAAGCCACATAATGAAAGTAAAAAATAAGAAATCAGATTTAAAGTTAATGTGCACTTAATTCTAAAATGTGTGATTTAATGTTTTCAACTAACTATTTTTTACCTTCTGCTTTCAACTATTTTTTTGACTTCTAACAACAGGTAGTCCTTAGCTCATTAGATTTGTCTTAAATCAAATTAATAAAAGGATCCGTATGTCCTACTATTTGGATTAAAAGGACCACATAAAATTAGGTTTTAAGTACATTTGTTTTTTTTTCTTGATCTTATTTGAAAAGATTTCAGATAAATACTAAAATGTTATCAACCTGTTCCATTAGTAATACCCATGAAACTTTACCAAAAATATTTTCATTTGAGGATTATTTAGGTTGAATTTGTGAACATTTTAACAGTCTAATCTTGAGAATTGAGGCAGAAAAATTGTTTAAAATTATTTTCAGGTAAGATGGTTAAAGATATTTATGTCGGTCAAATTTTAACATCTGGCATTTGTGTAAACTAAGAAATATCATTTAAGCTTGTTCTTTATGCATTGACAAAAATGTTTATACATACTATCTTCAAAAAAACTTTTGTTCTTAGGTTACCTGACAGTGTTCTGTAAAATTATGCTACAGGAGTTGGATAACTTCCCTGGAGATTCTCGTACACAAATTGGTTTCATCACATTTGATGGAAGTGTTCACTTCTACAATCTTAATGAAAGTCTCAATCAACCTTCCATGTTAGTGATGTCAGACATTGATGGTAAGGTTGTTCTTTATCTGTATTTTATTCACATTCATGATATTCAAATCTATATCACAAAACTACTGTAGAGCTGGAAAAAAAAAAGTTAAATTTTGCCAAATGATGCTGCTGATAATGAACGATGTTTGTAGAATATATTAATGTTAGTTAAAAGCTAGTTCCAATATTAATTTGGTTATCTCTAATGTCCTTCTAGAAAGTAAATTTTAAAGGTTTTCTACAAAGAGCAAATTAATATTTGTTTGTGATTTTAAACTTTGCTTTTAATAGAAAATATTAATTGCAGACAAATATTAATTACTAAAGGACTTAATTTGTTAATAATTAATGTAATGAATTTAAAAATATTGATATTAAGAAGTTTAAGTTTATATATTAACACATAATGAAAAGTATGTTTAATTTTTGTTTTAAGGAGTCAAAAGTTAAGCTATGCATGATTCTTCTTTTCTCTCTATATGATTTTGTTTATTATACCATACAAACAAAAGATTCATGTTTGATAAAGACAGCTGAGAAATATAATATTTTCACTTTCACATGTTTTTTTCATTATGAAACAACTTAAAATCTTCTGTTTATTAGTAGAGAAACAAAGAAAAACTGCTTTAACTTTAAATGAAAAAAAAAAAAAAGGAATCCAACCAAATATTTTTGGAGAATTCAAACTTAGTTCCTTCTACAGTATGTTTAGTTGCTTTAGTGTATCTTGAATCTGTTCATAGCTGGATTTCATTGACTGTCTTTTACTGTCATTACTAAGAGCAATGAAACTATAACCAATTATGTACATCTGTTGGAAGCATTGAAGCAAATTTCCTTAAGTGATTGGGTCTTAAGTCATTATTTTGATTAATTTTTCAAATATAAATATTTGTTGTCCAGTGTCTTTAATGAAATAATAAAAGTTTTTTCTTTCCTTATACTTTATTTACTGCATTAGTATGTTAGTGATAATGATTGTATAACTAAATATTCTCTTTATTCTAAACTTCTAAATAACGATGGTTGCATTTCAACACTGTCATTTTGAAATAATTTAAAGCAGAATACAGACGGGTAATGTCTGTGTTTTTGTAAATTTTTGTTCTAATCAAGATGTCATTTTATAGCTATTGATTCACTCCGTTGAGCCATTTTAAATAGGTGATAACATAATTGTTTGTGGAGTTCAAACAGTTTTAATAATTCTTACACAGTAATCCAGATATAGTCCATGTTTGAATTTTTTTGCATATATTTTTTTGGAGCTGAAAAATCTGATTTGCATTTTGCCAAAAACAAATTGGCATCTAACACAGTTTTGTAGACTCAGCTTTCAAGTTTATTTTTTTTAAGAGAGTTGGAAACTTAATTAGTTAGTCTTTAAGTGTGCACAAAATCTAACAAATTTTTGTTTGAAGTCTTTTTTTTTTCTTTCAATTTTTTCTTTCACTGTATTGTTCAAACAAGTTTCTTTAGTTAGCTAGCATTTTTTATATAATTTTATCTTGCATATATTCTTGATTCTGTTTTTGTGTGCAAGTGAATTTAATTACCAAGTCTTTTTCTTGCCTATTATCAAGACAATTATTTTGAAGTATTATTATTTTTTTTAAAGTGAGGAATAGTATTAATTTCTATTGAGTATTCAACAGTGGATGTTTCAACAATGATTTGACTAACTAAAAAAACTTTGATTTTTCATAAAATTGTGAATTCTGTTTTCATTACAGATGTATTTTTACCACTCCCAGAAGGACTTCTTGTGAACCTGCATGAAAATAGAGCAGTAAGTGTTGCTGTATTTTGTCTGAAAAGTATACATTAATATTCATGGTTGTGTAAGGTTTTATTATTTGTTTCTTGTGCTATATAACAAGTTTTAGATCACATCAAAAATTATCCCTTAAATCATTTCACCACAATTTAGAGATAGCATAAATGATTGGCTGAGCATGGCCTAGTGGTTACCATGCTTGGTCTATGATTCACAGCCTGTGGCTCCAAAACAAGTTCTGCACCTTGAGGCTGTAAGAATGATAGTTAAATCTCACAATTTGGTCCGACAAGAGTAGTCCAAGAGTTAGCAGTGGGTTCTACCTACTAGCTGCCATTTCTCTAGTCTGTTAGTTCAAAATTAAGGATGGCTATATATAAATAGCTCTTTGTGTAAACTTACATGAAATTTAAACAATCATAAAATATATCATAGTGTTCCCTATGTCAAGCTACCCTGAATTGTCTTATTTTAGGAGATAATGTAACAGGTTTTGACAGTTTCTCTGTTTGAGATACAGTGATTGTATTTTTTTTTTGTCTTATTTGATACATTTCTATTGGAGATGTAAAAAAGTTCAAGGAGCTGTTTAGTCGTCTCGATACAACTTGGCTGTTACAGTGTGGTTTGGCAAAATAGGTTTATATTATTTCTTAAAAAGTTATTTACAACAATACACTGCTAACATTATTTCTGTTGTATTATTTTTTGAACAATAAATAGAATTAACAGTGTATGGTAAACCATTCAGAAAAATATTGATAAAAACTGTTGTTAATATATTATTTTTCAGTTAATACAAGACCTACTGAAAGATCTTCCCAATAGATTTGCTGAAAATGATGATACAAATAGTGCCTTAGGTGCAGCACTACAGGCAGCATACAAGTTAATGGTGAGCCATATACAAAATTCTTTTAATAGCATTTGTTTGATATTGAGTAAGCTTAAGACAAAGCACATTGATTTTTATCAAATGTCCATGCTGTCATTAGTTTGTGTTTTTCTAATTGTTGTGCATTTTTATTCTAATTCTGTATTTATTTATTTTTAATTTGGCTATTTTGTTAACCCTATTCATATTAGTGGGCAACTTTCAGGTGTGAAATGCACACTTCTGTATAAAATTTCAAAATTTCACTAAAAATAATAATTCTAATTATTCCAACAACCTTTTACATAAAAGGTGTATTATAATTGATTTTTTTGTTATCTTGTAACATTCATTTAGTGTAATTTGCAAAGAAAAAAAAATAAACTTACAACACTGCACAGCATGTAAACAACAAACCAATTTTTAGAATATTTCTGCCCTTCCAAAAGCATAGGGACACATTTGTTAAGACGCTATTGTCCTTGAGAAATATTCCAAAAAGTTTTGTTTTTTAGCATGATTTTCCTCATATTTCTTTGTTTTTAGTAGTTCAGCCTCTCATTCACACCCTTTTTATGATCTCACGGAATATGATGTGAACAATTACTAATGAAGCTTTGCTTTCAAAATAGCTGAAGGTAAAGTACCACAATAGATCAGATTATAAACTGTTTACATCAATATAGAGTGAATAAAGTGGAGTGAAAAGTAATCTGTGGTTTTGTGGGAAAGTGATCACACACAGATTTTACAGAGAAGAACAGAGGAATATAGTGGAAAATTTAGAAAACTTATAAACAAAGCACAGATCTGGGAATTTGTTTATAGCTTCTTTGGACATTATTTTCATTCCTGCAAACATTTTAATGTTGAATATGTATTAGAAATTCACGAAAATTTTCTTGTATGACAAAACATCAGGTTAGTTAGTATCTGAAAATGTGTTTTTAGGAAGCGTTATAGAGTAGTACAAGTCCATAGAACATTACAACTCTGAAATACCAACAGTATAAAGTAATCATTGATCTGTGTTTGTTTTTCATTAAATTGATCATCAGTTGATTATCGTTTTTTCTTTTGGGAATTAATTTGTTATTGTTCAGAGTTTAATGCATGCAATCATTTTCTTTCCTACCCCTGAACCAATACATGAATTATCATTCTTTTAACTACATTTAGGCTCCAACAGGAGGAAGGATTACTGTTATGCAGACACGTTTACCAAATCTTGGTCCAGGAGCTTTGAAATCTAGGGAAGATCCTAATCAGCGGGCAGCCAAGGTTAGTTGATACAGCTGGAAGTTTTATATTCAAATAATTTTTTTACAATCTCAGATGCTAGGCTAATGAAAGATAGTGTTTAATGTTTTTTTTTATTTTAAGTGTGTTGAATTTAATAGTTGTATTATGAAGTGTAAAGAATTTGTCTGTAATTTTATTGTAAAATATACTAGAAAAAATAATTATAATTGTGTTTGCACAGTAGAAATTCTGTTGTGTAAATTACATCAGATTTGTGTGTTAATTCATTTGATGTATCTCGTAGTATGGTTACAAAATGTGGATATTATATATACGTTGATAATTGTTTTTTTTTTCAGTTATAGGATTTCATTAAATACTCTATTTTTGTCATAAGAAACATTGCGAGTAAAAGAATGGAATTCCTTTTTCATAATAAATTAATGTCATTGATAAATAATAGCTGATAGACTTCAAAAGACTTTCTTTATCATTAGGATGTTACCAATCTGGGGCCTGCTACAGATTTCTACAAGCAGCTAGCATTGGACTGCTCTACTCAGCAGATAGCTGTGGATCTATTTTTACTTAGTTCTCAGTATTCAGACTTAGCAACTTTGGGTATGTATGAGCTTTGGCACATTCAGGCATGCTGGAACATGTCTCAGTTTTTGATGCAGCTGACTTGGAAACCTGTAAATTGATTCCTCCAATTATTTCAGAATTTGTTTGGGTATTTTGGTCTTGAGTGAGAAGTGTATTTTTTTTAAAGTAGCTAGAATAGCCCATTAGTTTTTTTTTTTTCAGTTTTTGGATTGATATGTAAATTTTTCTGACCAATACAACTTTGAAAAAGTAGGTAAGATTACAAAAAACAAAGTAATTGAAAAATTAAAGAAAAGAAGAAAACCCTAATCCCGAGTGTTTAGAAGAATGACAGTTCACAAACCTGATATGGATCTGCTCACGCTTGGGTTCTTGCTTTTCCATTATAGAATTTTATTTGACAGCCTCCTACCTTTGAAGCTAGATTTACAATTGTTCAAAACTAATAGAAGAGGTCAGACAAATAAGCAAATGCATAGTTTGACTTAATATGTTTTAGTAATATCATAACTTATAGTAATTCATCTTACTATAATGGACATAGTGTGTATTTTGTTATCTATGTATGTAACCAAAACTCCTGCACTATCTATTGAATGGTGCTGCAAACAAAAATCCATAGAAAAATTTCACACTTTGGGTATTCAAGATTCAGATACTTAGAAAGATAACTGTGGTATGTGCAACAACCATTTCTTTATAAAAGAACATGATTTTCACTAGGACTGTACGTGAGAGTTTGATTATATCTTTATTGATGTAGTTTTTAAATCTGGTACTGAGAAACTGAAGTTCTTAAAACACTATTATTTTTTAAATAAACAGTACCACTTTTAATGTATAAAAACATTACAGTTTATATCAGTAAAATGTATGAATTAGATATTCCAGCACATGAATTTGCATGAAGTGATCCATTGTATTAAGAAACAGACAAAATCTATTTTTTGGTTTTCTGGTTTGTCTCTCATTAGTCATTAGATGCTTTCTTAAACTCTAAACAAAAAAAAAAAAAGAAGATAAGTAAAAC